CAAGTCCAAAGGGCACTCTTGGACAACCATTAGCGAGAGCCTCTACAAGGCTAACAGCTGTTGTAGACTAAGAACTAGCTCTCTAAGAGGGTACTGCCCCAACATCCTTTTGAGAAGGCAGTCTAAACCTGTATCAGAAATAGCGTGGCCAGCAGGACCAGGGAGGTGATAGTGCCCCTGTACTCGGCGCCGGTGAGGCTGCACCTCGAGTGCTGTGTTCAGTTTTGGGCCCCTCACTCCAAGAAGGACATGGAGGTGTAGGAGCGTGTCCAGAAAGGAGCAACGAAGCTGGCGAAGGGTCTGGAGCACAAGTGTTATGAGGAGCGGCTGAGGGAGCTGGGGTTGTTTAACCTGGAGAAGAGGAGGCTGAGGGGAGACCTTATCGCTCTCTACAACTGCCTGAAAGGAGGTTGTAGCGAGGTGGGGGTCAGATTGGATAAAAAATTTCTTCACCGAAAGGGTAGTCAGGCATTGGAAGAGGCTGCCCAAGGGAAGTGGTTGGGTCCCCACCCCTGGAGGTATTTACAAGGCGTGTGGATGTGGTGCTTAGGGACATGGTTTAGTGGTGGGCTTGGCAGTGGTTTACAGGTTTACAGTTGGATTTGATGATCTTAAAGGTCTTTTCCAACCTAAACAATTCTATGATTCTATGATTCTAATACTCCAAAACCATTCCCTGTAGCCAACATAGAGTCATATTATCAGGGCTATAGGAAAAATGTACATTTCTTCACATTGACGGGAACAAATAACGCTGCCTATAGGACTCAGTGACCAGTGGAAGCAGAAGCCTTGGCAGAGAACTGGCACAATTGCTTGTGTTTCCTCTTCACCTAGAGGAGACTAATGGATTACTTTAGTCATCGTCTTTTTGATATGCGTTTTCTACACCTGCTTTATTGACTAGAAGAAAAAAGTTTATAACATTTTCTACATGTTGGATTTTCAAAGCCCCACAAAGCTCTTGAGAAGCGGGGTCTATTTTTCAAATGTCTGTTGAGATTTGCAATATCTTTTTTAATATACCAGCTATAAGAGTGTGTTAGTGCCAAGTGTTCTACTCACAGATACATTAGTCTTCTGGCTACATGTTGTTAATGATTTAGATTAAATTATGATTGCAGCGGCATTAACTCAGAGTAAATATGTTTATTCCTAACTCATATATTAACTAATTCAGATTAAAGTTAGATCATATGATCCAAACTGGCCATTTGTCAGTATCACACATCTATCAGTAAGGCTGTTTTATTATTTGTTCTTACTTCTAGATAACAGAACCCCAACACATTCCTTATATCAAGAGTGAAGAATAACATAGTTTAGATATAAAATAAACATCCTAAAGATAAGTAGATAAAATACTTTGGAAGAGTAAACACAGTAACAGGTAATGCTGAAACCAAAATGTGAGGAAAATTTTCCTCAACTGTTCTGCTATCAGCCAGGTTTCTCTTTATTCAGAAAGAATTATGACAAGGGAGGGAAAAAATGACAAAAAATAATGTATACTGTCATAACTGCATGGAAGTGTAGTCCTGGAAAGAGGGTCTTGATACCACGGATGATAATTTAGCAGTATATGCATTCTTTTAATAAAAATACTGTGCTTTCATGTCCACTTGAATTTGTTACAGCATAGGAGAATGTGTTAGCAAAGGCAGTCATTCTTCCACTGCTGCTGTGAAGTAGTCCATATAGATTTTTTAATGATGCTTCTCCTGAGACCATCTTCCAGAGTTGCAAAATATCTATATATGTATATCTTGCAGCGAATGTATTTTTTGTGGATTTAGCTGAGGTCTAGAGCAAAATCTGAACAGTCACTGTGAACATGTTAACTGTGGAGTGCAATGTCATGAAAACCTAATTAAAACCAGTGCAACTACTGAAGATGCATGATGGTAAAAGCACTGCATGTTTAAGGGATGAGAAAAGCAAATTGACATAGCAAGAGAGGGTGGTAACACTGGCACTAGATCAGACAAGAGCTCTTCTAGCTCTCAGGCTGGAGCATAGGCCCACTCTAATGAGGTGCCCTTGACTCTGCTCTGGCAGCTGGTGCTGGCCGTGTGGTGCTGCCTTGGGCAGGTGGAGGGAGTTTTCCTGCAGGGAGACACGCGTGTGCCGGTGGCTGAGCCGGCTGTGGGCAGCGAGCGCAGCTGAGCGGGGGGCAATGCACTGCCCGTGTGGGTCACGTGCTGAAGGCCTGGGATC